CTTCTCTGATTGTGATTCGGCGATCGCTCATAACCATTTCTTTCACTTTTTTCACTTTTTCATCGGTTGTTGATGTGCTTGGGCGTCCGGGTCGTTCGTCATCTTCAACGTTTTCGTGGCCATCTTGGAAACGCTTATACCACTCATAAATCCTTGCTTTACTCATAGCAGACTCACTATATGCCTTTGTTAACATTTGACAAACTTTACTACACTTTATTTCATTTTTTACGCAAAATTTAATACAAATTCTTTGATCCATTTTTTTTCACAAACGAAAATCGCCGAGCTCGAAAAACACGTCTAACATTAGCGGCTGCCACTTAAAAAGTAAGCAATGAATATTGCTGAAAATTTTATCGTACTTCAGGGGCATGTATACCAACATAATAAAAAAAAGTTTTATACAAGCGGACTCTCCAAACCCGCGAAATTTAAAAATTCTCGTTACTTTTTGAACACACCTCGTATATACATGGTCACTTACGAAGAACATTAATTGTCAGATTCATCGATAATACAGTATACAGCGGGACTTGTGCAGTCAGTCCGCTTATCTTTCATGAATCTCGTATTGCTCGAGACAGTTACACGATATTCTTTTGATTCAAAGGTGACACTTTACTTGATAGTTTAAAAGTACACTTACGAAAGATCACAAAGTTGGTAATAAATATGTATACGCATAGAAATGAGAATAAAATTTTTTTGCTAAGTCTGATAGGACGGGAAATCATAAATCATCAAATCTCAAACTTGATTCAATTGGCCAAAATATTTCCGAAGACCATTGTAAAAACAATGTGAGTCTTGGAGCTTTTATTAAGAATAAAATAATAATTTCACTTCAGTGAATAATTGTAATTTGTAAGTAGTTATTTTGTTAAAAGAGTGGTTCAGCTTTATTTTATTGGAACAGTGGCTTGTTAACGGTATCGCGACTGCAAGTGTTATCGTCAGAGCATGCTGAAATATTCGCGCAGAATGAAAACGGTTACACATTTGATGGTTTATTTTTGAGTTAGGTCGATGCAACAACGACGGTGACGATGATTACATCAGCTTTGCGGAGGATCAAGAAGTTTCGCATAAAACTTCCGAGGCCAAAAATGATGAGGAACAAACGAGCTTGTATACAATATCCAAGATTGAAAGTGACAAAACGCTACCACCGTACGTAAATACTAAATAATGAGCACATTACAGAGAAAGAAGGTTCTATGTTTATCGATGTATTTGTTGCCGACTGGATTCCCTAAAATTTGACCCTACTATTATCGAAGGTACCAAACGTGAGTATGATCAATAATGTGGGGAGATATTGAATTGCATTCTACATCGACAAAAATACGTTTTTTATTTTTTTTACTGGTACAGTTTTCTTGTTTTGTTACTGTTACACATTGTTAGGTGGAAGGAAAATGTACGCATTTCCAATAAAACAGATTAAGATTACAAAATGTGTAGTCTTCCAAGTTTGCATTGTATTACGTATTTAACTTTTGCAGTGGCCTTATATTACATGCATTCGACAAGCTTTTTATGTCAAATATCCACAACAACGATCTTCACAACAAAGACATCGATAAAAAATTGAAAAACAAGAAATAACACACAATCAATATTTTTCAATGGGATAATTCGTATAACTTGAAGATCCATATTTAGTCGTACACATCGAAAATCATACACTAATTTTATGTATATAATTTTATTTTATGTAAATATTTCAAGTAATTCAATCCTTTGAATTTTTCTATTCATAAGAAAATTAAGTTAAGAAAATTATGCATAGTAAGATTGATTAAAAATATAAGTCCCAGTGAAGGTTTACATAATGGAATAAGATTACAGGTACTTAATTTTTCAAATCATTTATTAAACTGCAAAATATTTTTTTTACAGATAACAAACGTAATAGCATAATTTCTCAATAGAATAATATTTACTTTTAAAAGATGATAATGTTCAATTAGATTAATTTTCGCTACAATTATCATATCTCAAGAATAAACTTTTGAAGAAAATAGGTATCGATCGTCTAAGAAATGTTTTTAATGTGATGGTCAAATTTACGTATCTATGACCAGAGTGAGATTATGAGAATGATTAAAAATTTATCATGGGAATTAAAGGATGGAATTTTTTACAAATTATGAGTACAAAGAACTGTACCAATGAAAATAATTTTTTAGTTAATATATGAATATTTTTGAACATAGATAATGTATTTAACGTAACTTCTCCCATATTTAATTTAATATAATTTCGACTCGCGAAATGCGCTAATAAGTCTTTGTATTATAACATCATATGGTAAAAATGTTACCAGATAAGGAAAAAATTTAAAAGAAATTCCAAATTATATGTAGCTGAGTGACCTACTTATTTTACTGTTCTCATACTATTGTACGGTAGATTTTATTATAAAAACAATAGTCAGTACTAGAAAAGTTCATTATAAAATATAGAATCAGAAAAATCGAATATTCGAAAATAATCTCATTTATTTACTAGATTGTTAGACGATTTTGGATCTATAACTAAAGGGTAATAGCTACAGTCGACTGAGTAACTCTAACTAAAATATATCTTCATTTTAAATATTTTTTAAAAAGTATACCGGGTGTCCACAACCACCCGTCCACCCCTTTTATTTCTTTAGCAACACGTTTTTAGGAAATATGATATATACGAAAGTTTTAGCAAATCAATCAAGGATTTTAGCGGTGTCCTTTAGTTTGACCTTGAAGTTGATTTTCAAGGTCATTTCAAGGTCAAATTTCGTTTTTTAAATAGGAACCCCTATTTTTTATACTGGATTCTGAAAGAACACGAAATTTTGAGTAAAAAGTGTTTTTAGTATTTTTTTTATTAGACGCATATTTAGCGAGAAAAAAATTCAGTGATACCGGTGTCCATACCATCCGTCTAATTCTTCTAAAATCTAGGTAGAATACCTATTCAGCGAATAGTAAAATTCGAAGTCTTGTGCTAGTAAGTGCATTGTGCCTATTGATTGGTGATGCTTTTAACATTCACTTCCGGCCGAAAGTAGCCTACTGGGACAGGAAGTCAGTTTTTTTTAAATGGTGTAGTACTTTTTTATCGTGGATTTTGATTTTACATCGATTCCACATAAAAAAATATCTAGGTATGAAACTTTTGTTTAAAAATCTTTATTGTAAAAATGTACCACCTAGTAGTAATTATAAATCAAAGAAAATGAAAATTTTCTTTTTAAATTCGAGTAGTCAAAATGCAATGTTCGGTACGAATACTATGCAAAATTAAGTTTACTTTGTCAGAGGTGATTTCGTAATTAAACCCGACGTTGGAAATTATCTATCATTAAAGAAATAAATTATAAATTCATCATTTTCAGAGGTAAGTTTTAACTCGGAAAGAATTTGAACCATTTTATTGCGTTTCTCTTACTAAATGACAAATTAGATTTATTTTCTTTTCAAATAGGTACCTATGGTGTATTCCAAAGAAGAAGCGCACGACATGTTGCAAGTTTTATTTGAAGCTGGGTCATTCCTTGCTGCTGAAAGGTTGTGGCAAGAGCGTTACCCCAACAGATTTCCTCATTCTCGTAAAGTATTTTCGCGTCTATCTAGAAGAATCAAGAATGAAGGACTTGTCCAACCTCATCACAATAAGGGAAGGAAAATTCGCCGACGAATTAGAGATGAACGGTCTGTGGATATCGTCGCATCAGCAATCATTGAGCCAAATGATTCTGTAAGGCGCCGGGAACGTGATTCTGGTATAAGCAAATCCACTATCAGTGTTATTCTTCGGAGCAATAAATTTCATCCCTACAAAATGGAATTACATCAAGATCTGAATAATGTTGATATTGAACAACGTCTTGCATTCTGCAACTGGGCGAGTGGCCAAAGAGAAAATTTTCATCGAATCGTACTCTTTTCGGATGAATGTACTTTCAAAAGTGATGGTGAAGTTAATACGCAGAATTTTCGTTATTGGGCAGCGCAAAATCCGCACTGGCTGAGAATGGAAGACCACCAACGGGTTTGGAAAGTTAATGTATGGTGCGGCATTATCGATAACCAAATCATAGGCCCAATTTTTTTCGAAGGAAACCTTAATAGCTTTAGATATCTCCATCTTGTAGAAAGAGAATTAGCCCCTTTATTAGAAAATGTTAATCTTGAGATACGTCGTGACATGTGGTTCCAGCAAGATGCATGTCCTTCGCACACTGCGCTTATCATTCGAAGAGCTTTGAATCGTTTATTTCCGAATAAATGGATTGGAAAGTACGGTCCTGTCAATTATCCACCTCGATCCCCGGACCTTTCAGTATTAGATTATTATTTATGGGGAAGAGTAAAAGATTTAGTTTACCGTGAGCGTCCAACTACGCGGGCTAACATGATTCGCAGAATCACAGAAGCAATCCGCTCGCTTGAAGTAGCAGAAATTAGAAGAGCTGTTGATAATTTTGAAGCTAGAGTGCAGGCATGCATTTTGCAAGGTGGAGCGCATTTCGAACACTAAAATAAATAACCCAATAAAAAAAAAGTTTATTTAGGGAAACAAGAATGGACATTATTTATGTTTTCATAAAAAAAGCTAGTTTATTATGTTTATTCAGATTACAGTTTATTTATTTGATTTGTTATAAAAATAAAAATTTTTTATAAAATAAATTATAAAAATAAAATAAAAATAAAAATAAACCAATGGCAAGATTCTTTCTGAATTTTTTTCTCGCTAAATATGCGTCTAAAAAAAAAAATACTGGAAACACTTTTTACTCAAAATTTCGTGTTCTTTCAGAATCCAGTATAAAAAATAGGGGTTCCTATTTAAAAAACGAAATTTGACCTTGAAATGACCTTGAAAATCAACTTCAAGGTCAAACTAAAGGACACCGCTAAAATCCTTGATTGATTTGCTAAAACTTTCGTATATATCATATTTCCTAAAAACGTGTTGCTAAAGAAATAAAAGGGGTGGACGGGTGGTTGTGGACACCCGGTATGTTGTCATTGAATGGCGAAACTACGGCCATTATCAAAATATATAATTCCTTATTTATATGTATATATTATATATCTAGTTAAGTTTTGTTATGGACTAGATAAAAACGTATAACTTTTATAAATCGGCTAAGTAATGTGGTAAATGAAATATTTAGACTTTTCATTATATGCCGAATCTTTTACATTATGTGATGACTTAAATAGCTGATATTATGATAGTTCAAAGTAGAGTTTTGTAGATTAACCTATATTTATTACATAGTGACATATTTCATGCATTTAAAAGGATTCAACTAATTTCCTATAAATCCAGTTTTATCAACGTTAATTTCACACATGTTTACTTATAGTGAAACAGTAAATAAACTAAAATCTGATTTATCATTATAAATAAATATGCATATTTAAAAATTTTTTCATCAATTATTTTGTTTTGTAAAGTAATATTTACATAGAAAAATAGTGATGTATAATTGAAATATGAAAAATGTAAAGCACAAAAGTGAAAATTACGGTAAACCAAAGTTTTTGAAGTCGAATGAGTGCAAAACATGTATGTTTTTCTCAGAGTATTAGAAATCTTTACTAATAAGTTTGGGATATGCATATAATGAAGTCAATAAATTTTATCAATACCTTTGCATTCATTCATCCATAAAGTATAAAATAAATTTTAGTTTATAATTATTTAATATTTATTCACATTTTTACTGTAAGAAATGATAATGCACTTTTCTTCATCTAACTTAAAAAAGATAAATCTAGTTTCCACCCGTCCAGTAGCTAGTATTGTAGCCTGATTTTGCTTGTGCTTTATTTTGAGAATTTGAATTTGTCCTCTGTCCTGTACTAGATGTATTATCTTGATGTATAGGTTGATGAAGTTGATGCGGAACTGTAGGAATAAATAAATGAGCAGTCCCATATCCTCCAATTACATTTGCACTTTGACTGTTTGTGAGTCCAAATGGTGGCGGTGTTGCCGAATGAAACGTCTGTTTTTCGTAAGACTGTAAAAAATATTGAATTTATATGAATGCATAATTTGAATAGCATTTATTGTTAGTGGCAAATATATTTCCTGAGAAACCGCATTCAAAAAGGATAAATTAAGTGTCATACCGAAAATAATTTCATAAAATAATATTTTCTTAAAAAGTATAAAGAAATATATTTTGTTATCAGTATCTCTAACAATAGAGTTTACTTTTTAAATTTTATAATTATCAATACAATATATTATATTTCCACATGCCAATTCATATAACACGACTATTTTAGATTATCTTATGAATTTACAAAAATTACAACAGCAGAAATGACTATATTTTATCTTGTGAAATTATAAAACAAAGAGGTACAACAGTGACACCCATACTCTAAACGAAAGCTGTCAACATCTAAACTCAATTTATTTTTGATAACGTTTAGCTGGTTTATTTTACAGCGTCATCAAGTCTTTTATTCAAAAAATAAATCAATTGGTTGTACAAATATGATGACAATTTCACAATAAAAATGAAATCAAATCAAATATCAAGAACACATATCAACGCAATTAAAGAATTTTTCAAGATTACATTATCAATTGCTATAAGTCAACAAAAAATTTATTGTAAATATTGTTAAATTGTAACAAAGTTGTCGCGTCACCTCTGCGCTTTGCCACCAATTCTTTAAAAGGGGGATGAGAGAGGCACTTTCTCTCTCAGCGATCGAAAGAGAGAAAAGGGACAGATCATTAAATTATTATGTACCATCATTTCAAATTACCACTCTACATTTCACAATCTTAATTTAATGAACTATAACTATAAAAAGAAGAATAGAACATAAATCCAACTTTAATTTAAGGAACACACTATTATTTTAAAATTATTACCAAAACGTAAATTTTTCCGGCGATGGTATCGCTTTGGCAAGCATTACTTTAGTTACACGAACTGCTGCTCGAACCACAAGTCGAGTAGCCGGTGGATGAACGTCTTGCTACTCAACTACCTAAGTCAGATCTAACACGACCTTCTTGTTGCCATGCAGAGATTTAGCAAGGAGAGAGAGTACTTGTCCACACGAGAGAGAGAGAGAGAGAGAGAGATAGACAGTCAGAGAGATAGTCAGGAAAACCCACAGAGCATGAAATATTGAAAAAAGAATATTACAAGAAATATTTCTAATATATTTCTGAAATATTTCAAAATATTTCTATTATTAAATATTTCAAAGAAAAATTTCTAAAAGATACTTGAAATATTTCGTAAAACGATTTCTATGGGATATTATAAAAATATTTCACATAATGTTTCTAAAATATTCTAAAATCTTTCAGGAAATATTTCGAGAAATATTTCAAAAATATTTTCAGATATATTTGACTGAAATATAATTTTTTGCTTTCGCCATATATTTCAGGAAACCTTTCTAACAACTATAACGGGGTTAATGCCGTTTATTTAATTTAAGCGCGCGATCGCATAGAAAAGCGCGCGTGATTACCTAGACGTTCAAACACGAAAACCGGAGAGCAGGAGGGAACGGGTGTCAGTCAACCAACTGTCTACTAGCATGAAATAAATACGTCGGAAATATTGTTAGTATCACAAGCGAGAACGTTTATTGCCTCTTAATGTTACACTGTATTCGGCCCGCATGTTTATGTTTACATACCACGCGCGCGACAACAACATGCAGTGTCGGATCGCTCGCCGCTTATCGTTCGAAAAGTTATTACATGCGCCTTTCTTGTCGAGTGCGAGAGATTAGTTAAAGACAATTCTATCGCGATCGCGAAATTAAGCTGGCCAGCTTACCTTATTAACTCTCGTACGGGTAACAAGTAAGATGAAAGAGGCTCGTACGGCACACGCTATGTCTTTCGGTAATGTTTATATGCCGGCGATGATGTCTCTCGCTTACAGTTTCGCCCTCGATGGCGGAACTCTCCGCTCACGCACACTTGCACGCACTCCACTCCGTCAGGCTATGGCACAGCTTCTCTCTTTCGTCTCTGCCTTCGGAAAAACTCGGGAAAACGTCAAAGGTATTTGCTGCACGGCTCTGCGATCGGATTCTAATCCTCGACTGGTTCGTTTTCATTCGCGCGCGTTCCGTCGCGTCTCGTACCGAATTCCCTAAATACATTTCGACCCAACCGGTAGGTGCTGCCCTCGCCGGCAGCCGCATGGTTGGGCTGTTAGCGCTAATACGACGTTTACCGTCATACAACTTAAATGAAATCTTTTTAAAATATTTTCAGATATATTTAACTGAAACGCCGGTGCATTGTTTGAACCATATATTTTATAGCTACGATTATTCCATATATTTCTTCTAACAATTCATTATAAATGTAAATCATATACGAAAAATTGAATTTAGATATCGTTTCTTAACGCTGACAGCCCCTGCTAAAAATTATCCATTGATTATTATTACAATTGATTAAAGTTTAATTCATTTTAATCACTTTTAATAGAATGGTTCATTTTCAATCGATAAGTTGATGAAAATTAAATCACTTAATCATCTTTAATCAAAATTACAGCCAATATGAAAGTGTACTATTGATTTCAATGCTATGTAATTAGTTTTAACCTTTAGAGAGCCGGAGAATAAATATATAGACGCTACCCCCGATTGACACTTTCCCTATGATCACTCAATGATACACTAGTGGAAAAAATTAAAGGATCAAAGAAAATTCCAAATTTTTTGATGCTTTTTAACTGGCTGTATTTCCCTTGAAAATGGTCGTACTGGAATTAAAAAAAAAAAGCGTTTTAAAGTTTGAAGTTTCTAGTTTTAAGATCTCATAATCAAAATATTTTTCAAGCAACAGGTTCTGCTCAATCCTCTGTAACGGGGAAGGTTATCTAAAAAAATGGGAAATTTATTTGAGAACAAACTCCTACGATACAGAGCTAACCGCCGCTCCGATAAACACGTATGATTGTACGTGTATTCGCCTTTACGTCATATGATTTCGCTTAATTGTCTTCTATCGAACTGCGTTGAACTCACCTTAAGTCACGTGCCTTGTGACACTCCATGAATCTTAGGTGTGGGCGACTTTACGCCTAATCCGCTTAATCCCCTAGATGTAATCGGATTAAAACCTAAGCCTTTTACAAATTACTTAAGTTACAGGGAAAATTAAATGACGGAATCGGCCAATAGATTTGATTAACTTTAATTAATAAAAATAACTGCAGTCTTTGTTGGGCCGAAAGACTAACGCAAGCGAATAGGATTTTACAATGAATATTATTCGGTGAAAGAGAGAGAGAGAGAGAGAGAGAGAGAGAAGATTCGAATTTTACCGCGAACTAACGCTCGGCGCGAATACAAAAAAAAAATCGCTATTACGATTGACAAAATACCGAATGTATTTTGTCACGCAATAATGAAGGGAGGTGCACCTATCCTGCGGTGCAATTACGGTGATCAGCCGTAATTGTTGATGATGAAGAATCAACTGTCGCTGCCCTCCAGATTATCAGCTGCGCTGCCTCGCTCTCCTATCAGCTTTAACTTTGCTGCTGCCAATCTGCTGTTGCTTGCTGCAATAACTTAGTTGCACCTACGCACGTAAAGTTTGTCCCAGAAAAACTTATCAATCGGCGAACACAATGCAAAATAAAAATCGGCGGTATCGACACGCAAACAGCTGAGGCGTAACTGCTTATTCAAAAGATAGTGCGCCCCCCCTCTCTCTTAATTGTTTGTACTAACGCGAGAGAAGCAGAATCGCGAACGGATAGATTAATTGAATCGACTATCGTTGCACCTCATGAATACCAAAAAAAATTTTTTGTTTTTTTTTTAGTCTACGAACTTGGAAAAAATGTTTTTAACTCAGCCACTATATGGATCGGATAACTTATTTATTCAGCTTTAATTTGCATTTTTTAAAAGTTCAATACCCCCACCTCTCGCTGAGATATCGAACTTTGAATGGAAAAGGATCTTTTTGTCTTTAACCATCAATATCTCAGCAACCGGTGATTGCACAAAAAAATGAAGGTAGGTTTTGAAATTTTGAATAAATTTCCCAAAAAACTGTACTACTGTTTTTGAAAAATAATTTTTTTTTATTCTTTACATTAATTTGAAAAATCGAGAAAAAAAGGGTATTTGGTGGCTTCTGGGATAATCAAGCGCTAAGTTGGACTATCGAGAAAACCAGAAATGTTAAGCGTGTCTTTTACAGTTCAATATGCCAACAAAAATACAAAGTTTCAATTCAATCGATCAAGCCGTTTTTCTGTTTTATTCAATCGAATTTTTGAAAAAAATTAAAGAATCACAATTTTGACTTTAAATGATCATAATCTTGAAAAAAAGGCAAAAAAAATTTTCTTTTAATTTTAAAACATTATTTTTAATGACTCCAACAAATTTTCAACAAAAACTACCGCCGGCATCAGCATTACCCAAAGCGTACCACATGGAGGTTGCCCGGTCGGATTTACGCTTCATGTGTATGTTTTTTTTAGGAGAAATGAGACCCGGAGGCTCGTTAGTTCCTCCGTAGTTAATGACTCCAAACTCATTCTCCTAAGAATGTGTGTGTGGGAGTGTGTATTTAAATAACAGTGTAATTTGAATTTTGTTATCTATTGTAAGAGCTTATGGAACTCGAGCATGATAATAAGTATTATTTCAAATGCTGGCATTGATTACGCTAAAACTCAGAAAGTTGTTGAGGTTTTGATAAATCACTTGCGCAATAATTTATCCATCTTCTTTGAGGAGTCAACAATTTCTAATTGATAAAAAATGCACTTGTTGATTTTGAACTTTAATCCTGCATCTCCAAATTTCTAAGTCTTTTTTTTTTTTTTTTTATTTAACGTCGCTCCATTTATGCTTCATCAGTGCTAATCAGCGACGGAGGCTTGCAATGTGTTTGAGAACAAAGCACATGAAACTTTTTTCAGTGGTGCTTGTATCAATCAGCAGGAACTGGGAATCGAACCCGGGCCTACCGGGTGCGAGTCCGTCGCCCTAC